CGTAATAGCCCTATTTATTATTAATATAATTTAGCCTTAATAATACTTAACTACGTATTATATACTAGTTTATTAAATACCTAGGGCCCTTATAAAATAAGGAGCCGTTATTATAATATTAATAAAAAAATAATATCATTATTAATAACCTAGCCTCTAATTAAAATAAAAACCTTTATTAATTTTAACTTATCTAAGTACGCTTTAAAATACTTAATATAAACGCTACTTATTTTAATATAACTAAAATAAATAATAAAAAGCCCGTTTTTAAAAAGTATAAAAGGAAAATAGAACGCTATTAAATAAGACATATTCAAAAATATAATAAAAATTAAAATTAATAATAAAACTATTTAAGTATAAGTAAGCTAGGGTAATAATATTAAACCTAGGAGCTATAAATAAGTTTATTAGGTTATTTATTATATTAAAGTTATTATAATTCGAGGACTTAAGAATATAAAAGAAGAGATCTACTTATTATTTAATAGCTTAACGGATCTCTTATATTTACCTCGAGGGTATTAAGGTTTTGTAAGGTATATTAGTACGTCGGGGCATCTGGTATTACGTTTAAGGATATTTACGGTACGTTAGTCACGCCTCTAGTATAACGCGGGCCAGAAGGTTTAAAAGCTATAGTAGCGTAGGAAGACAATAAACAGGAACACGAAGGTCTTTAACGAGATATGGCATGCCAGACGCATCAGATCATGCTAGGGCCTGCCTTAGTCGGTGCACATCGACCTTAGGTAGTTCCGATCTTAATAGTATTACCGTCGCAGGCCGTCTACTTACCTAGGTATTACGCTATATAATTAATAAGTGGCTAATAATATAGCTAGACGTCCTATAGGGGTACCTTTTTTATAAAAGCTTTGCGTATATTATAGGGTACTATTATACTTTTTAACTTAACGAAATACGTATATATTAGTATATACTATTAAAAGGAAACTATATATAGAGATATACTTATATAAGGTAAGCTTTTTTACGCACGTAGTGCATAAAATAAAATAAAACCAAATATTTATCAATACACTCAACCCATGTTATTATAAAGTATAGTATGGAATGCTTTGGTGATATCTATCTCTAAATTACCCATATATGCGCTTGGTTCTGTGTCGCTACTGAAGAAAAACCGAGAGTAACAGTAAGGTACAGAGTAGATATCCTAGCAAGTTCGGGCATTCTTTGTTCAAGTTGCTCTACTATGCACTTGCTGAGAGGCATAAATGGTGTCCAATTTGTATGGTTGAATTAGGTGGTCAAGAGATTTGGAGTAAGAAATATCCTTCCCTAATGCCTGGCCATGGCCGAGTCTCGATACTCCCAGAGAACATATCTGTACGGGCTTGTCTTGAAGGTTGAACCTGACTTCTTTAAATGGTCAGAGCTTCTAACACGAGAAACTCCCCGTGTAAGCTTCGACGTAGCTTCAACTTTCAAGCCATTTTGTCGGGCCAATTGCTTGGGAATTGGCAGACCATACTTTACCTTGAATGGAACCTGGGAGGAATTCTCACTGAACGAATTGGGGTGCAGGGCAATCGAAGTTACTTTTCATAGTTTCAAGCCCCATTGAATCAAAACTCTTGATACCGCAGGGTTTCTCGTTCCCATCACTTCTGGTGGTCTCCCTCGCGTTAGGTACAAGGTACTCCCTATCTCTATTTCTATTTCTGGACAGAACGATTGTACAACAAATGCTTACCTTACCCGAGGTGCCTACCATCCCTTCCATGTTCCATCAAGCCACGCATCCTCATTTACATGAGGGAAGCACAGCAAAGCAGGCTGAGAGCTTGCTTACCTGACGACCCTGACCATTGGTCTAACGTTTGCTTCCTCTCTTGTTCTTATGCACATCCTGGGGCTGTCTTGTCCCAGCGAGCCCCTATTGCTTAAGGTAGGCAATACCTACCTAATCATTACATTAAGGTATTTCAAGCTCCCGACTCTGCACAATTCGAAGTTGAACAGTAGGATGCGCAGCAGTCATTCATTCGCCCTGTCAATTTCGCATTGCATTCCGGTCGCCCTGCTTGCCCCCTGAGGTACCTCATCATTTCCCCCGTACGTACCGTACTCCGTTCCTTGGACCCTCGATACCTATACTTGCTCCGTGCTGGGCCCACCATAGCTCGACGCTACCACCACTCCTCTGTGCCTGCACATCTTGGACCTCCGTTGCATCCATCCCCAATCTGCCAGCAAAGTTAACTCCCGTTGGTCGATCTTCCTTTCACAACCACGGAATTGTGGGCATGACGCGCATCCGGTCCTGATATCCGCAGCGGCCGCGACGCCCGGATTACTTTAAATTCGGTTCTGGTCCACACCTCGAAAACCCCCCTGCCCATACGCAAGCCGCCCGCCCTGCCCTTGGCAGCGCAAGCAGCCTGCTGTACGGAGTGCTGCGCCGGCCCCTTCAAATGGCCCATACGTCGGCCTCAACGACTTCGTCGCACAACTCCTCATCCTTGCACCTTCACCTTTCCTCCTCGCTGTATGACCGCGACTACGACGACGATTACTCGGGCGGGAAATCAACCCCGATAAGGACACCCTCCAGATCTTCCAGCAGCAACATCGATGACGACAAGGGCGGCAACGAGCTAGATGACGGCGTCCACTTTCCCATTGCAATCCGCGAACCCCCAGAAGCGCACCGAGAAGGGGACACGAAGCTTTTCGGTCTTGGCAATTTTCCCCGACACCATACGGACACATTCAGGAGAGGCGAGAACGACGACGGTCACGACTACTCCGAAGACGACGACGCTTCCGTATTAGAGCAAGATCCCGCAGGGATGTCTAGCTGGGCGGGACAACCCTCCATTAGGGGGAGCTCAGAGGCCATGCGAATGGTGCTCTTGACCTTCAACACTCTTGGTATCACGTATGTCGCAAGCGACGATTGCCAATAGGTCTGCCATACTGACTAGGACCTAAACGCAGCTTCACATGGGGAATTGAGATGACTTGTACGTCACCGTCTGTCCCCTGTCACCAGTCTTTGCATACTAATCCACCCTGGCAACAGATTGTACACCATACCTATTGAATCTTGGCCTCACAAAGAGCAACACCTCGCTGGTATGGATCGCAGGGCCATTATCGGGGCTCGTAGTCCAACCCATTGTGGGAGCTATCGCGGACGAATCCAAGTCGAAATGGGGCAGGCGGCGACCATTCATCGTGATAGGGTCAATTATCGTCGCAATCAGCCTGCTGACCTTGGGATTCACAAAAGAAATTGTCGAAATGTTCGTATCGGACAAGGAGACTGCGCGGATCTTTACTATTATCCTCGCAGTGGTGGCCATCTACTTTGTGGATTTCGCCATCAATGCTGGTGCGTTGAATAAGGCCTGCATGCAAGTCTCTCGTTATCCCTGAAGCTGACCTCGGTACAGTAATGTCTTGCGCAAGAAGCTTGATCGTCGATACTCTTCCCATTGAAAAGCAACAGACCGGCGCCGCGTGGTGTAAGTGAAGCTTGCATCATCACCCCAGGTTGCATCCCGTCCGCTAATCCCCACAAAGCTAGTAGAATGTCCGCGATTGGACACATGCTGGGCTATGGAGCCGGTGCCATCGATCTGGTCGGCATATTTGGAAAGACAATGGGCGATTCGCAATTCAAGCAGCTCACACTCATCGCTACGTTCTTGATGCTCTTCTCTTCCGGAGTGACCTGCTGGGCTGTCACTGAGAGGGTCCTGGTGTCGACAAGACACGACCCCCGCAAAGCCACTGGGCGGTTCAAGGTCTTCCGCCAAATTTGGTCGACGCTGCTCCATCTTCCCCCTCGGATCCAGGCCATATGCTGGGCCCAGTTCTGGTCCTGGATCGGCTGGTTCCCGTTCTTGTTCTACAGCACCACCTGGGTTGGCGAGACGTACTTCCGTTACGATGCTCCAGCAGAGGGTAAAGATTCCAAAGATGCCCTTGGCGACATTGGCCGCATTGGCAGTTTGGCGCTGGTCATCTACTCGACTATCACCTTTATAGGCGCCTGGCTGCTGCCCATGGTCGTCAAATCGCCAGATGATGACAACTTTACGGCTCGCCCGCCCCAAGCCATTGCGCCATTCCTTGAACGATTCAACAAGAACAAGCCTGATCTCATGACCGCCTGGATATGCGGCCATCTCATGTTCGCCGCGGCCATGTTCCTGGCACCCTTTGCGCAGAGCTTCCGCTTCGCAACCTTCCTCGTAGCCTTCTGCGGCTTATCGTGGACGATCGCCATGTGGGCGCCGACGACCTTCCTCGGCGTAGAGGTAAACAAGCTTAGTGGCGCCCGTGAAGGAGCGAGCGGGACTGCAGCCTACCGTCGCCTCTCAAACGACTCCAACATCGAGCTGCCCACGCTCGGCCAGGACCAGCCACTCCATCTGGAACACGGGCCGGACGAGGGTGGCCAGCAGACGACGTCGTCTACGGGCGAGCTGTCGGGCATTTACTTTGGCATACTCAATATCTACACGACCCTGCCGCAGTTTATCGGAACTTTTATAAGCACCATTGTCTTCACCGTTCTAGAGCCGGGTAAAAGCCCCGAGCTGTCAGACGCACCCGAACACGAGCAGCACAACACCGACGGTCCCAACGCCATTGCGGTATGCCTCTTCATCGGTGCTATATGTGCGGTGGTGGCCGCGTTCGCCACGCGAAAGCTCAAGTATCTCTGAGTTCCAATGTACGAGTAGAAAAAGAGAAAACAGCACGGATTTCATTATTGTAGGGGCAAAGGCAGCGTAGGGGATATGGGATGGCGTTACGGGAAGGGGTAGAGAATAAGCTCTCTCGCATTAGATCATGTGTGGGATAAAGCGCATAGGGCTTTTGGCTTCATTTGAGTGATGTCGAAGAAATGGCACATCTCGAGGCTGCGGGTTTTGGCTGGATGTCAGGGATGTATGTTCCAATATGGCCTTCAATGAATACACTCAGTATCACGGATGAATGAGGCTAATACCAGTGGTGCCAATCGCTGTCTTCGTAAGTATGTGTACGTGGAGCTGCCCACCATGGAGCATGCTGCCAAAGCCCTATGTACAAGTCCGGTTCGGACAGTGGTAGCGCATGTATCGACGCTTGCTCACGGGTATCTCAAATTTCTCGTTGCGCGGATGCGTCCCGAACATCTGTCTCTCCATACAACTTTCCGTTACCCCTTCGTTCTCCTCCTCCTCCATGGTGGTAAAATATTCGAGTGGTGTGCATCGCTCGACGAGTGGTGTTGGTTAAGCGTGTCGTCGTCGTCATGTGTGTTCCGTACGTTGTCATCGCGCCCCGACGCTCATTCACTTGTCCTTCTCGTTCTCGTTCTCTGAAACCTTTTCCCACTCATCCTCGGTGCTCACACTCGACTGCGTGCCCCCGTTAGTGGCATCTTCAGCCCCGGACTCGGGTGTGGCGGAAACGGCGGTGCGACGCTTCAAGTCGGCCGCTTGCTGCTGCTCCGCGGCTGTCTCGACCTGGCTGCTACCGCCCACGACGCCCTTTCTCCCGCGAGCGCCACTCCTTACGCCGCCGACAACGGCGCCGCCCTCAACTTCGGTGTCGCTATCATCCGTTCCTTGGGTATTGGCCCCTGCCGCGCTGCCTCCTGCTGCTCCGCCAGCGGATGTATCGGTACCACGCGGTTTCTTGGCCTCTTTCTCTGCGTGTTCGGCCAGCTCGACGACGAACCAGTTGATAGCGTACCAGAGGCCCGCGCTGAGGAAGGAGAGGATGACGAAGTGGATGCTCCAGGTGGCGAGGAGGAGGACGCCGAGGAGGAGCTGGAGGGCGGCAAAGGTTGCGTTGGTCGCGCGGAGGAGAGTCGGTGTTGGGCCTGGGGTGAAGATTGACTCCCAGAGGTTGGTGACGAAGGCCGCCATGGTTGATGTGGGAGGAGGGGCTTCGGTGTCTATGTTAATGTATGGCGTTTGCGGAGGCACAGGTTCGCCGTCGGCCGATCAAATGTAGTTCTCGTGTCGTTCGATCGTTGCGTTCGATCGTTGCGTTCGATTTCGCGGAGCTGGTGCGCGGCTTGACAATGTGAATACTGGCCGCTGTATTGTTTGCAGTAGTTGTAGTAGTTGGGCGTGATGTTTCTCTGTGGAGTATTTCGCTTTTGGGTAGGGAGCTTCGGAGGAGTGGAGTCCGGCTTGTTCTAGCTTATGAGAGCTACTTCGGAAAGGTGACCAGGGTAGGATATTCTGTTTCTCTTAAAAACGTAAGACGACGCTCGCGACGACTTTTTATCTGGCGATGATGCTGTTGTTTCGTTTGGATTGCAGTCAGACGGCAGAGTCAAGGCGGTAAGAGCGCAGAATAAATAGCGTTTCTGGGTCGAGCAACAATTGGGTTGAGGGAGGGGGCAGGAAAGAGAGGGGTCCCTTCCGGTTGCTGAGGAAGGTCAGGGAAGGTGGAAGGTTACCTTATAGGTGAGGTAAGGTAGGTAGGGGCAGGTACCATTTGACAGCACGCGCGGGTTGTGGCGGGGGTTGGGAGAAGGAGGGGAGAGGGGGGGGAAAGGGTCGAGATAATGTACCTTTTCTTTTTTGACCAACAGCAAGCCAGAGGAGACACGGTATTATCTCTATCTTCCTTTTCTACGGTATCTCTCTCTCTCGGAGGGTGGATGCAACGTGGTCACTCGATGTTTGTAGAATCAGAACAGGTGGCACAATAGAGAGCAAGAGGTGACCGTGGCCTCGCGATAGTTGACTCCAACGTGTAGGGATGTTTACGGGGCTGGCTGTGGTTGTCGAGAGAAAGGGTCATAGGGTTGCCTATTAGGCAGACAGACAGGCAGGTTCCGTCTCTCTAGGTGGTCACGGATTGCCCAAGCCAAAGACGACGACAAATACCGTCAAGCAACACGGAGGGACCGGTCACAGCACGCGGCCCTTCGGAACACGCTTCTTTGGCTGTTTCTGTGCAACAGGAATGGAGCGGCGGGAGGCCGGAATGACCCCTCCATGGCTCGGGAAACGTCACCGTCGCGTTCTTTTTTCCTGGGGTCGTGGGGTCGTGACCTCTCTAACGCAAAGCTTCTACTGAGCCGAGGCGAGGCGAAGGGGACCTGCTGACCTGCTTGTTGGGGTCCGTCGAAGACGACTTGCGGGGTGAAGCGTACAAAGTATCCGTCCTGATCCTTACTGCAGTGGTGGTTTACCTTATATTGACCGCGTGCTGTCAAAACACAAGAACTCAATTCCATCGTTTGGTCGATTACTGTCGCTTCCTATGCTTGCTTTCTGTAGGCTGCCGTAAGGTAGGTATGGTTGTGTTCCATCTTTCCATGCTCAAAGCACCTCAGTAAGGTATGTGGTGGGGGTCAGTCACGTCGTCGGCGATAACAGTTGCCGGATTTCGGTTTCACTCTGAGCCATACACGAGGGGCAATGGGCGGAATCCCCGTCAATGCGGCCGGCCACCAAAAAGATTGCACAGCTCCTGACCGCGTACTTAGCACTATCTTAGAAACAGCACCCCCAGTCTAGCTGTATTCCAGCTCCTGACCGCGTACTTAGCACTATCTTAGAAACAGCACCCCCAGTCTAGCTGTATTCCCCTTGGGTGTCAACTGAAGATAGAGAGTACGCAGATCATGCAGTAAAAAGCTTAAATCCTTATTGTCGGTGCCGCCAGGATCAAGCAGGAGCTGCATGTAGCAGCGTGCTGAAGCCGTTGAGGAATCGGAATCCAGACGTCATGGCGTAGCTTGAGGCAAAGCAACCGTAAACTCAAGTGTACAAGCTGATCTGAATTGAGCTGGGTTAACCTAAGTCTCTTCATTTGAAAGAACTGAGAGCAACGCTATTCTGTGCTTGGATCATCGACCACGGTGCACACATCTGATTCTATGCATTACCCCATGAAAACGACGGGGAACAGAATATGGATACATGATCCGACGGGAAGAGAAGGGGCCAGGAGTTGTCTGCCGTATTTGCGTACGGATATGTGTTCATATGCGTGTCTTCCTCCACAGCCGTCGGAGAATTTGAGCTTGCAGTTAATCTATCTCATTCGCATGGCAGGCCTGTCTGTGTGAGATATCGGCCGTCTCAAAGAAAGGAGTGTTAGCCTACTACACAGTACTCCGTGGGCTGCGACTGACTAAGAGAGCAGGTCCAACAAGTGAAATGCCCTTGCCGCCAACGTAAGGAACCACACGTTGCAAGATGATCCTGGGGTTCCGCCCCCAAATCTGGAACTGAAGGTGCGGGACCGAATACTTATGGGACCCGACAAATATACCCCTACCTGGTTTCCGCCTTCTTCTAAATCCGTACTGCCGCCGCCGGGTCGCTCTGATTTTGAAGTACCTACGCATACTCCGTACCTCACCTTACCTTACCTTACCTTACCTTATCCAACTGACTGCCCTCATTCAGGTGCAACACCTTCTTCCTTGCATCCATCTGCTTCCAGACGATTTCCATCACCCAGAACAAGCAGGAAGGAGAACCCTTGAAAGGCAAGTTGCCTGAACCCTGCCTTTTGTTTTCCCTTAACCAATCAGATTAGGAAAAACAATTCCCTTCAGGTCGGAAGTTTTACCCCGTTTCTCACAGAGGAAAGAGCAACAGTTGAAAAAAGGTACCTTCCTTACGTACACCACGCACGATATATCCGGGGAACGTGTGACCGGACCACCCACCTTAGCGCGGAGCACATTGGGAAAGACCTTGGCCAACCCAAGCTGGTCCACCCACGTCCACCACCGGATCGACGACTGACGACTGCACCAGCAACCAACGCACCACCACCACCACCTCGACCTCCGCCGCAACTACCACAATTACCGCCGTCGCCGTCGCCGCTTCCTCCTCACCACAGAGCCGCAACGAACGAAATTTCATGACACCCCATGTCCGTCATTTCTGACATGACATGATTGGTCTCGCGAGACCTCTGCTGTCACCAGCCTTTCTTTGATTCCCTCAACAAAGCATTCCCAATCATCTTCTTTCAGCCCGGTATTTTCTTTAATCCATTTTACCATCCTGTTCTCTGGCCCATCCGCGGGTTCCCAAAAAAAAGAACAAGCCCAAAACGCGCCTTCCGCATCCGAGCCAAGATACCCACGATCGCTTCTTCTGACGACTCACTCCTCACCTCGACAATACCTTACAGCATAGTACGCGATTGGCAACCGAAAGAAGCCGCGCCATTGTAGCAGTAGCAGCCTACAATAGCAATCGACAACCGCTGCCATCGCAATCCGAAGCATGCGCTGAGGCCCCTCGCGATCATGGCCCCAGCCCTGCAGACCAGCGATCCAATGACCCATCAAGCCGCCGAGCCGCATCCGAACGAGGTCGAGCTTCCCTACCACAACGGCGTCCCAGGCCACCCCGCATCCGTTGACTACGATGGCGTCCCCGATGCTTCGGTAGACCCCGCCGTCGTCATGCGCAAGCTGATGAAGGGCAAGGACAAAGAATGGGATGCTGTCGCGCCCAGCAAGTCAGGCAAGAAGCTGACCCTTCTCGAGCTACCGGTGGACATCTTGCGCTTGATCATTAAGGAGGTAAGTTGACCCGCTATCAACCCCTCGGTCTCTCTCCCAGTACTGACATTCGACATTTCTAGATCACGCACACGAATGACCTTACCTCGCTCGCCTTGACCAACTCGAACCTTCACAATCTCGCGATCCCCCACATCTACTCGAGATTCGATATCGTCTGGCCCGATGCCACCCAGATGGCTACGTCCGACTCGAAGAGTGTCGATGCTCTTACGTACGGCCTGTCCACGATCTGCCTCGGCAGTTCCTTCGCGCATCGCACACGCAAGATGCTCAACCCAAGCTACATCCCCACCTACGGTTCCAACGTTCGGAGACAGAAGAACGACTACGCCAAATACACAAAGAAGTTCTCATTGGGCAATGGACCACAGGATTGGGTGGCCGAGTACATGATCTCCAAGGAGAGCGGCAAGATGCTGGGCACGCTCGTCGCTCTAGCCGTGGAGAAAATGGTCAACCTGGAGTCGTTCGTCTGGGATATGCCGACTGGCGTTCTCTCCGAGATCTTCATGGCTCTGGCGTCCATTCCCGAACAGAGCTCCGAGGCCGAGTCAAAACTGGAAAAGGTTTGGGTGAGATGGCATGATAACACCGACGGCTCCAGTCCGTCGCCATCGTCGAGTCCGCCTCCCCCGATCCCACCTCCTGTCCCACCCGGCAGCCACCTCACTACAGTCGGCATCTTGATCCCTTCGGACTCTGCTCATCCGGCACCGCGGGGCGCGATCCCGTATGCGGAAACAAATATCGAATTCCCTACCTTCAGTGTTCTGCCTCCGCTCAAGAGTCTCACTGTTCTCGACATTGACGAACTTGCTTACCTGGACGAGATGGCCGTAGCGATCGAAAGATCGAAAGACTGTTTACAAGAGCTTCGGGTCGGCATATCCCCGAGAGCCGTCTTCAAGGACTTTGTCCAAGCCTGGGATGGGCCCGACTTGCAGCAAATCGATCGGGATGCCAGATGGCCTGGTGAGAGCTCCATTGGCGAGAGAAGATTAGGCGGTGTTTTGGGCGTGCTTGTCGGTCGTATCTATGACATTCGCCGCAAGTCGACGTCGAAGTCAAGAGAGAAGGCCCCCATGGCATCGACGCAAGCGACACAAACCAATACCGCCCACTCTGCCATGGATACTACGGAGACCTCGAATGTCTCAGGGCAGCCCAACCCGAACGAGCCAGATGCTGTGGAAGTGGATGACTCAGTCGAGCCGCTCGTAACCCAACCAACGGGAGCTGCCACAGATGACCGAGCAGGCCATGAGGAAAAGTCACAGTCTGTGAAAGACCAGGCGACCGGTGACGGGGACCTCGTGGATACACCTTCGGGCGTGCCGAGAAGAAGGCTGGACGGCAAGCTCAAGCTCCGTTCTCTAGAGCTCGAAAGAGTTCATTTGTCAATTCAAGTCTTTAGCCAGGCCTTCGACTGGACTGTCCTGACCACATTGACTATCCTCGAGTGCGCCCAGCACGACACTCTTTGGAAGGCATTGCGAAAGCAATTCGCTCCCACTCCGATTGTCAGGCTCGGATCTCATCAACACCACGCCAGCTCTAAGCAAGCTATGGAGTATCATCTCAATCTCAAGAGCATTCACACAGATGTTACTTCGGTGGCTTTGATCAGCTTCCTTAGAGACACTCTAGCTCCTAACAGTCTAGAGGTCCTGTTCTTGCAGGATCGGAGACGGCCCAGTGGACCGCCAGCGGTGACCATCGATCAAATCTTTAAGGGAGTCATCAAGAAACACCGGGCGAGCCTGCAAAAGGTCCTTCTAGACAGTTCAGATCGGAAGCGTAGCAATGGCAACACTGCCACAGACACCGCTCGCTGGCGCAACTGGGTGCTGCCGACGGACATGTTGCTTTACATGACCAGTGGACGCATGGTGAGCCTAAGAGAATTGGCCATCTCCTTGCACTTCAAAGACTGGGTAAGTTGTTTTTCGTCTGTCTCTTGTGCACATACCTCAAAGCTAGTGAACACCTGTGCCTCATATCACGGGTTCATTCAGCACCAATCACAGCTCTCACGATCGTCGTGATGATGACGCGGCTTTCCAGAGAAGCAGAATCTCAAGGACTTCTAATGCTAATGATAATTACAGCACACATTCCTTCAGCGCTTGCCAAACACCCCTCAGCTGCGGTCTCTCAACCTGCAGCATATTGCCGATCATATACTCGGCAACTTTGACCCTCGAGAGTTGGCGTTGCAGATGGTCGATATTATCACCCTTCGCCCTGATATTCAGCTCTGTTATGTGGGCATTTCTACAAAGTGCTTCGAGATCTTGGAGAGCAAGCCGGCAGAAGAGAGTGGTGCGTCAACTACGAGTGTTGCGGCTGACCATGGTGTTGTGGGCCACGAATCTGGAGTTGACGGCGAAGACGATGACGAGGAAGATGAGGTCGCTACGGATGACGACGACACGGCGAGTCAGGTGGATGAAGATACCTCTGAGGAGGAAACCGATGATACCCCGGGGAATGCAGTACATGCAGATGACTCGCAGTCGGAAGCGTCTGCGGCGCAGGACTCGGACGACGATGAATCGATGCGAGACGCTGATTACGGCACCTCACGTCCTCGTCTCCGACTCCGAGAGATTCTGTTCTACGATGACAAGGTAGCGATTTTCAAGGCTCGGCACGGCAGACTGTAGTATGGTCTCGGAAAGTGAGCTAGGGTACAAGTGATGGAGGGGGAGGGGGTGGAAGGGAGGCATATGGACGGGTCAAAACTTGCATACCATGGAGGCATATGCGAACGATACAGTGAGACGGTTGAATACCAAGGCGAAGGAGGTTTTGCAAAGTACGCTATCTTGAGATTTTGGGGGCAGCCTTGTTTTCCCTTCCCCCCCCAACGGACTAGCCTAGTCGTCTTTTCCTTTACATCAATTGATATCCCCTCCCGTGCTGAATAGCAGCATGGGGAGCCATTGTTAATTCCAATCCCTTTCCCGGAACCCTTGTGTCATGATTTACAACTCACTTGTCTGTTGGACACCTCTAGGCCAGTAAAGTCAACATGGTTTTTTGGACAGATGGAACAGTATGATTTCTCGTCCTCTCGTCAGTTCTATACACAGTGGCATCATGTCGAAGAGGTAGATGGCATGGTCTTTGTCCGTCTATCCATCACACTGAACCCCGTCTAGTGGCTGACTCTGCAGAACTGTTCAAGACACTTTGATATCAGGAACAGATATGCAGCAACGACCCCTTACTCCCGCGCACAAGCAAGTCTGGACTTTGTCAAGAGGTGATTGCCATACAGAACCATCTTTCCTAATCTGCCTAGTTAACCTATGAACGACTACCTAGACTAAACCGGAGATGTTTTGTTTGGAACGTTACGTCCAAAGTCCCACCCCTGGTTTATTTTCTCCCCTTTGGTCTTTTCTATGCTTGCGGTCCCACCCCGCCCACCGGCGTCTATTTTTTACTCTTGGAAGGATGGGAAAGATGAGATGGGGTCACTTGAGAGGCGAGATAGGCGCAGAGATGAGGTGACAAGGAAGGGCAGGGGAGTTGGAGGGGAGGCGTGTACGGATGGATTGGGGGGGTTACAGAAGGGTAGTTCGGGACAAGGCGGAGTACGGAAGTGTGATGGACGACTTGCCACCCCTTTTTCTTCAGATGTAGATGGAAGGATGAAGGGCATGGGATGGGACGAGATGGGATTGGGGGGAGGGACGCAAGCAGACCTTGCATGCGTTAGCCGTTTCGTGCCTGCGGGAGAGGGAGAAGCTAGAGCTGAGGGAAGGCAAGCCACCACCACCACTACCACCACCATTGTCATGTCCATCAGGACGCAAGCTCGTTGGAGAGGGTAGGGTAGGGGGAGGGGAGGGGGATGGATGGGCATCCGTCTTTCCGGCTTTCTGCACCGTACCCGTACGGCGTGGTGTACTCCCGCTTCCAGGAGGGGGATGGATGGATGATGGGACATGGGGAGGAGTTGGGGCAATGGGAGGTAGGGTGATAATAAGGGTTGGCACGTACAATCCAACGGGAAGTTTGTAACTCCATGCTCCCAGGACGAAAGCTTCTGGTCTAGATTTTGCTTTGCTGTTGTGAAGTGATATATTGGACGTTGTTGGAGTGGAACTACATCAACCTGTGCATGTGGGTGTACGTATGTCAAGTCAACCAAGATTGCCACTAGGGCGTTTCTGTCTTGGGATCAACTTTGGTCTTTGTAATTGCTTGGGAAGAGGGGACCTCGATCACCGCGAGTTCCTCAAGAGTCTAGTACAAGAGCTCTGAATGGTCTGATGGAGAGAGAGAGGGGGGAGGGTGATGGGGGATATCTACGGAACTTACCCTGCTGTCACCACACCCTCCCCCTTCCCTTCTCTCATCCTAGTCCTAGTCATAGTCCTACTCTTCACCCAATGATGATGTCTTTCTTCTTGTATGCCTTAACCCGGGTCCCATGTAAGTATCCAAAAGCCGTTGAGGGGGAGAAAGAAGTCCTACGTCTAGACTTAATCGAGAGACTCTCCATAGATATGAAGGTGGGGGAGGAGAAACCAGACCCTTACTTTCCACCCCTTAGTCGCCCCCATTCCCCTTCGTCCCGCGGGAAACCGGCGGATTTCGAAAGGGAAGGTAAAGTAGGCACCGGTGTGATAGTTGAGGAGGCGAAGTGCAGAAGAGGAAGAAGAGACTGAGGCAGATCTCTTCTGTTCTGGAAGTATTCTGCGCCCTCTCTCTCTCTCCCTCCGCCCTGTCTCCATCGCTCCGAGACTCGGGAAGATACACATCTTGCCTTCTACATCCGCAGCCCCTTCTGGCCTCCGTGGCTTTGAGTTACGAAGTTTGTATACATTTATACATATTGTCAGTTCTGGCGGAGCCCCTGTGAGGAAAAGGAGTTTCTACAGCCCCCTATAGGTGATGATACAACACTCTTGACCTCCATCAAGCTAACCCAATCCTGAACCTGAAGATAGATGGGGGAAAGCAAACAGGCAAAAAGAGAGGTGGGGGTGGTCGTGGCGGTGATGGCGCTTCCTGATGGTGGTGATGGACATGGGGGCTTGCGCACTGCGGCAGGAAGAAGGAAGGCGCAAGGGAAGAAGCAGGTCGAGATGAGTGTCTGCGAGTGGAATATCTGAACGGATCCAGAAAAGGGTGGGAGAGAAAGAGAGAGGGTGAAAAACCCCAAATCCAAACCCAAGAACGAGGGAAAGGAGTCAAGCGGGAGGATCGTGATCCTTGCCCTTTTTCTTTCCCGCTGAGGCCATGGCGGTGGGAGACCCAAGTGGGATGAGGATATGGAATTAGGGTGTACTCGAAGAGAAGGTGATGTTGGGGGGCGACGAACGAAGGACCCTCCTGCTCTTCTTGTCAGTGTCGTTACTCTTTCGCCCTTTCTCCTCTCTCTCTCTCTCTCTCTCTCTCTCTCTCTCTCTCTCTCTCTCTCTCTCTCTCTTTCTCTCGTCATATACCCTGGCCATCTCCTTGCGAACAAGTAGATCAGTCTACAGATAGACAAGCCTCTACGGCTTCAGTAGACGGAAGGACGAAAGGATGGAAGCCTAATCCAACTGGACAAATTGTCCAGCGAAAAGGGAATACCCGCATACATAGCTGGAAGAAGTCATTTCGTTTACATGCTCAACAAGGGGATGGTTACGATTTACCTATTGCCAAGCCGGTAGCCCAAATATGGAACAGATGGAAAAGGCACAGGAGGATGAGCTCCCACGTCGGGGGACAAATACATGGTCTCCTTGTAGGGCTGCCCTGAACAGTCGTAGACTCTGAAGATTAGGAAGGCGGAGATCCCACCGTATGGCCCTTGACATCCTGTTGCCTTACTTTGGGGACTCCGCAAAGGTAAAGTAACACCGAGAGAATGGAACTATCAGGTCTTCTTGAAGCAACCAAGGTAGCTGAGGATGTGCATCCTGGTCCCAGGACTTCCCTCTTTGGATGTAGTATTTCAAATATCAAACGAGACTGTGATATCTCTCAAATTGTAATGAAAGAGGTCCTGCTTGCGGTGTAGCTCAAAATGACATTGCGTAGAACATCATGAGTAGGGACGAGACGAGACTCGTAAAGAGATCATTTCCAAACCGGGGCGAGCTTCAGTCCAGACTTACTGTGCTTGGCTCATCGTTTCCCCATCCCCGACCCCAGGATAACCTCTTACGAGTGAGCATCTAGACTGTAAAGCCAGACCTAGGTCCGTCTGACATGAGCTGCCGTGGGGACATTGAACATTGGTTGATGAATCCTCCTCATCGACCGGAATGGCGGCATTGTGCGCTGGCTTCACTGTACCTTGCGCCACCCATCGCTCGACGAATCCTTCCATCTTGGTCTGTTTGCCCCCATTTCCTGTCTACACCCTCTCTCTTTCCCCGAGAAGACTCGCACTCGTTCGTCGAACCAGCGACTGGCCCGGACACTAATGGAGCACACCCGCTCCCCGTGAAATCACAATCGAGCCATCGAGATGCTGTCCGCCGTCGAAAATAGCAACAAGGTAATTCTGGAGCCTAGAATCTGTCATTCCCCTCAATGCCCGGACGACGTGCGGTGGTTGGTCCGTGAGGGCCATAGGATCGACCTCCCTGCGCAGGTCACCGCCTCGTTACCACCAGGACCCCCAGCCACAGTTTTGGGAGGATCGCGTGCATACCGCTCAAGCCACGCTCGCGGGCCCGGAGTGCGATCATACAGTCGAGGTTGGCCAGCTCGGAGTCGGGCTGAGGTAAGAGGGGTTATCCAGGAAACACAAGGCTGACTTTTCCCCTTCGTGAGACGAGCTGATGAGACGTGGTCCACATAGAAGGCTGGCGCACATTCTTCCATGTCTTGTCCTTTGATACACATCATGCTTCCAAATCGTGACTGCCGCCAGAGGCGGGGGCCGTCCGGCTTACCTCCCCGTGACGACGACAGCAAGACGCTTCTGCATTGTACGCATACTGCGAATGCAAAGCTTCAAGATCGGATCTTTTCGTTGCTAGTCCCTCAGACGTCGCCGCTTCCAAAGTTGAGACATGCCAGGTCGTCCACCACCTTCAGCCACAACGCATCAGTCGTCTAGCCCTATGAGCCGTGCGCCCCCCTTACCAATTCCCCGGACAGCCGTATGGGAAACCGTCCACAAGGTCCGGAGGACCTGAAGCGAGACCAAATGCTCCGGATCACATCGGCGCATGAGCCGAGTCGGCCATAACCACGGGGTTAATCTGGAAAGTCCGACCGCGAACGCAAGAAGATGCACGGCAGTGCTGCGTTGGCCCAAATTGCCCCGTGGTGTCTGAACACGCTGACCCGTTGTCTACGAGAGTTCATTGCTGACGCTCGTAACGCTCTTACCGAACTTATTTTCGTTGATTATGACGATAGACACATTCGTCTGACTTGACCACCGCCGTGATTCGTCTGGAGATAATGATAGAACACCGATGCCGTGGGTCGATATTGTCCGAGGTTGACACTGCAATTCCAGTCTATCTTTGTTCCCACACATAGGCACCACATTGAGTCGCTGGCGGACGGCACCGACTATGAGTGGTCAGATGCCGCCACGACAGCTGGCCAGACACATGTTGTGCATCGAAGAGGGCGCGACAAGAATATGTGCTAAGTGCGCCATAGCAAGCGGGTGCTGCGCCGCCAAGTTGATCGATCTTTCGACATCAGGAGGGGGGCGTGTCTCTGGCACCTCTTGGTCATGCCCCTCGTAGGGCGCTTGGTGCGAGACGTTGAATCCTCCCGATGAGCCAAATCATCCATGCTCGCATGAACCTGATTAAAGGCGTTCGGGATGGATCGCGCCGTTACATTTCACGACCAGAAGCCACGCAG